CGCCTCCGTGGTCGGCCCGGCAATCATTTGGAGAAGCTCGCCGGGGCGTGACTGACAGCTGAAAGACAACCTAAGTAGCTGGAAACTACCAGGCAGGTACTAGCTAGAGGTATTGGAGGTGTAAGCACTGCCCATTGTACTTGGTATAGACACCGTTCACTCCTTCGGCCGCATTTGTCCACATATGACACTTATGAACTCGGTTCCCGGGTCTGATCACCACAAGCCACTCGAAAAGATAGAATTGCGGAGAAGTCGATCATGTCCCAGACACTTCAGATCCTTTTTCGGACCTTGCGTCGACGGGAGAGACTCTACGTAATACCGTATGGGGTAATTAAGCTCCACAGGGTTCATGGTGATTTCCAGGTTGCCCACGCAAGCAAAAGAATAGTCGTCCCCGTGCTGATAAGGTTCGTTCTGGTAAGGGACGGACAATCCGACGGCATATCAAACCTTACCACCAACTACCCATTACCCAAAGATACCCCGTATTCCAGTCATTCAAAAATGTGACAGGTCGCAACTATCACCACCCGGATGGGATGGCATCGACGAGGCTGTGATAAGTGAAGGTAGCGCGGGTCGATAGTGCGTGTCAAAGCGTCATTTTGTGCTTTCGCAAGCAAGAGATGTCGAAGTAGAGCCTTGGAGTATGGATGACATCCCATTGTTGCTCCATTTGCATCAAGTCCAGACCCAAGTAGTGCCAGGCTAAGTCCAGGATGACCTATGATGCCGCTAACGGATGATCTATACTCCAAGAGGGACGCACCAATGAGTTTAGTGTCAGTAGATCACATTCCTCCAGGATCAGACAAAGAGCTGCCCATCATCCAAACGAGAAAACAAGCCGGTCGGAATTGTGGTTCTAAATGAGCCTAGGAACAACACGTGCTCGTCATTGCATGCGGGACTAACGATGGGAGGCCCTAGGAGCGATTGGGCCAGAGGCCAACGGTGAGGGTCAGTGCTGTTTGGGATCCTGAGTGACCACTGATCACGATCGACCGTTGACCAGACTCTTGCACTTGAGTATACAGCCATAATATTGCAAGATACGAGGATGAAGGTGACTGCAAAGAGACTTCCTGCAGTGAATTGTGTCGAGAGTTTGAGGGCCAAGATCGATCTTAGGTCCTGAGACAGAGTCGGGAGGGTGGTGGAGTGTGGTCATGGGAAGGCTGGGAGCCTCCACAATCCAGGCCGCTTGCGACGGAAGCAGCATAGACCAAAGATGAAGAGTACTGAATACCAACGGTTTCACACTGCGCAGAGACTTCGCAGCCTAATTGTCCGTCAGCTTCCGCTCATCCTCCGTCATTCGTGCTCAGGGACGGGATCTGCTGTCAGAGTGAATTACCGAGACAATTGCGTCCCCCACCGCGGAGGCCGTACTCTACCACTCTAAGCGTAGCGACACGGGACGGCGCGACAATGGCGTAAGTGCTTCTCTTTGATCTCCTTTAGCCTGGCCAAATTAGAACAATGAATGAACGGAGGCGGACTCGGAAGGAAGAAGAGACCGGGGAGATAGGAGACACAGGTGGTGTGCAGTCCGCGTGTCATCGGTTGAACACAAGACATCGCCTGTCTTTGTGCTGCTGCTGCTGCTGCTGCTGCTGCTGCATTCCGTTCTAGTTATCGTTGTCTCCTCCGACTAAAGGAAAGCGGGGAAGGAGGTACCCGACAGTGGTTAGAAGAGACAGATAGGGGTAGGAGGAATGAAGTAGAAGAGTCCGACTCAGGGGTTCAAGAGAAGGAATGACAATCCCCACTCATAGTCGTTGTGAAAAGTGAAAATATCCATGATACCTACTCCACAGTCCACACCCACACAAGGCAGAATCATATCGCGACCGAGATCTTGTCTGCCTGATATCTCAGGAATCAATCACGTGTCTTGTCTCACTCAGTGGTCTGGTCGACTTAGATATCCCTCTCGAAGCCGAGTCCGAGTAACGTTATAGTCATTTGATCCGTTTCCTGAGATACTCAAATACTCTCATACTTACTATCATAACAACCGCCCGGCCTGTGTTTGACCAGCGAATAGTTTTGCCCTTACCCCGCCAAATGTGGGCCGTACAGTACAGATTCACTGAAGGATTCCAGCATTGGTTCTACGGTACGAATTTCTTTGCCACCTGCGGATTATATCGAATTGCAACTTACTCAACACTCCATAGAATCCTCGAAGAATTCAGGTTCAGTGGCCCCCTCTACTCCATCTCTTTTGTGGAGCCGCTCACCGACCATGGGATCCCATCTGGGTCACGAACGATGGGTCTGCATCGAGTTTCGAAGTTCTGATCTGGCTTCACGCAATGGGGCGAAGAATGGAGCTGGGAAAGCTCGGGACATGGAGGGCGTGGTTCAAAAGCAGCTCCTGTTGACGGTCAGCATGGTGGTCGTCTCCTGTACCCATGCTTGGGCGGCGCGTGGGCGTCAAAAGTACGTACGTAAACCCGGGATTATCAAGCTTGTGTTTGTCGCTCAGGAGTACATACGAGTCAATACATGTACCTGTTCCAAAGGAGGCAATGGAAGCCAGCAACCTCAACGAAGATGGTGCAATTCACACGCAGCCACGCTCGGCTCGGGGAACGCATCACCGGCAGCAGATTGTGGATGGGTGGACCCTCACCTTCAGCTAGTGCCGAGTAGTATGCCGAAGAACGCATTAGTGATATACACGGACCAATGCCTCGCGTGCATCTCCACTCATTGCTGATCGCTCAATCCTGCACGAGCGACCGCGCGACGTGAAGAATCAGGGTCGGCATAGGACAAATTGGGATTCTGCAGGTGTACGTGAATTCTTGGGTTTCGCGCCTGGGCGGGCTGCCTTGATAGGATATTCAGCCGAAGGATCAGCGTATACTTGATTGGCAGCTGTCAATTAGCTATGATCAGTCAGTGTGGAGTGCAGACAGGGCTGGCTGCACTAACGAACGGAAGACTTGCTGGGTTTGGCTTGACCTGCGGTGATGATGAGAAGCAGGGTGCGATTGAAGCTGCCGTCAATCAAAGCATCCCTACAGGCTTGAGGTTGCGGTGAGAGATGTCAAGCATCATCATTGTGATCGAGACCCTTGTCGTACAAGCAATCCGGACTCGATGTCAATACCGCACGACGGAAAACGGGACAGGCCAGGGCGTGCTGCAAGACTATCTGACCCCCAGTAGTCTCATCTTCAGAGACTGAAGAAGACCTTGAGAAGAAGTGCCGGGTCTGCCGGTAAATATTCCGTGACTGGGAGTCGCCTTCTGTCTGGTTATATTGTTGGCAGACGCTGCTCAACATTGCAGACCAGCACTTGCCGGCCGTGGGAGGCTAGAAGTAAGACTAATGCAGCTCTTGCATCGGGAGAGGGGCCATGGCAAATTAAGTCAAGCCCGAGCACGAGTAATCGTGCAGACTCACTCGTGGAAGAATTGCCAATTGCCCAACTGCCCAACTGCCCACTGGAAACGGGACAATTGACAGCTGCTGCCCCTGTTCACGTGTCGAGTGACTTTGAATGCAGAGGAGAGTGCATTGTCACATCGGGGCGGGGCTTGTTGCACACTTAGGGCGATCGGAGTCGAGATAATCGAGCTAACTAATCTTAGATAACATCAATTCGTCAGTGGTTTGTAATTGTGCAGCATGCAGAAAAAAAGCTGCAGAAAACTTGAAAGTACGCGTGCGCGGAACCAGTTGCTACAGATGTAGTCCTGCAGTGTCCGACTTGATCAATGTTCAAGCAAACATGAAGAGGTCGGGCTTAAATCTACAAAGTACCCACACTATGCTTCTACATACTTGGACAGCTTAAAAACGATAACCTGGCGCGACTCGCCCAGGTAAACTCCCGGAACGCACGCGAGGTTCTCACGAACGGTATGACCCACGATATAGAATGTACTTGGGGCAATTGACCACCTGGTATCATCATTATTCTTCCATTACTATATACAGTTCAAAACTTGTAGAAAGCAATCGCGTGAATCCGAGAATTATCCTACGCGTCAACTCCAGAGACACCATGCAAAATCACCATACATACCTCCCCCCTCCGTCTTTCCCTCAATGCCACTCCCTTGTTTAAAAATATCCCCCCACCACCCCTACACCTTCATCCCTTTCCTCCAAATTGATGTCAGGAAAGCAGCATAAAAAGGCCTACAAGGTCAACTTGATGAAAGCTCTTCCTGTCTTCCAACCCTGCGACGCGACACACACCCTTTGGAAATCCCACTCCTCTCCTCCCCAACCACGAGCCTTACCACTCTCCCCTTTGTGAAACTCAGCCCCTTCACAAAAAAAAAAAAAAATAAAATAAAGGAGATGGAGGTCTCTCTCACATCCCTCATCACCACGGTCCTGACCCTCACTCTCGCATCAACCGTCGTCGCCCTCCCGCTACCCGAATTCCTTCCCTGGGCGCTTGTGGATACCGTCTTGCCGGGCTCGGGGATCCCCAAAGCCGTGGAAAAGCTGGGAACAGGGTTTCAGTGATGGTCTGTGGCCCTAAGGGCCAAGAAACGCGAGGTGAGGAACTAGTTCGGTTGTGTAAAGAGGTGTGGGTGTTCTACATTCAGCTAAGAGGTTCAGATTGTGATTCTAGTTTACGAAATACGTCGCTGGAATGATCCCAGGATACTGGCAGCTGGGCTAGCAATTCAGCATTTACGTAATCAAGAGACAGACGGACTATGACGAGCTCAGGGCAAAAGTGCTGGACTAGATGGCCAACCGATCAATTCGCGAGGGAAACGGCGAGGGCAACCTTGCAGTTGGCCCACAGGGGATTCATATCGCTGTGACGATGTATATATAACACATTTACCGAATTGGTATCTATCCGAATAGCCGTCACGGCAGGATACTTGTCGCTCCCTTCTAGAGTAGTCACGTTCTCCCTCAGGGTAAGTGGCATTTCTTCTGTGGGAGCTTGATGGGTAGCCTGGTGGGCTGGTCATACATTGGAACCAGGAGGTCTGGTCTGCATGTACGCAGAATGGCGCTTGGCATGTGGATATCACAACTTGAGTTCAAATCGGAGAGGGTACAATGCAATGCTCGATGCTAATAGTCGACCCACGACGGACACCGTACTTTACAGCCTTCTTGAACAGCCTCTATTAGAATAGACCTTCCATATCCAAGTCAAGGAACTCCGGATTCCCGACAGCCATATCAGCAGCGTTCAAAACATCATCAATACTCGTATCCAGTCCACTCGACGATTCAAGTCCGATACCACCCATGGTCTGGCCTCCGTCCATTCCCACCACAGCCGCAGCCGCCGCATTGTCCAACATGCGATTGAGATTTGCCGCGTCGTCATCAGTGACACCATGCCCGGATGCTCCCTGTGGGTCGAGATCCATCTGCCCAGGGCCTCCCACACCAAGCTGCATGTGCTGAATTATATTATTCATATCCAAATTCGGGACCTGGGCCGGTGGGGTCATGAGTGCGTTTACCCGCCGATACAGCCGGACGATGACTTCAGCGCGTGATGGATCCTTTTCGGAAATCTTCGGTATGTTGTCATGAAGTAGATTGAGAGCGCTCCGGAGGGTGAGAATCGGGCATCGTGGAAAGGATTCTTTGGTAGGATCTAGGGGCTGGTGAGAGTGATTATTCTGGTCGATGGCAAAGTACTCGGCCATAGGTGCGCAAATCAGCGTCGCTGCAATATCAAGGGCTATATCACCGCTGCCAGTCTCGGTCTGCAACTTGAGTTCTTCAACCAAGGCCCCTAGAACGCGTGTGGCCCCAAGAAGCAGAACGCCAGTCACGAGTTGTCGGTGCGTGTAAGAGTGCGGTGCAACACTGACGTGCGGACTTGCGCTCCACAGTACAAGGGATTGAAAGGCACTTCGTATACTGCCTAGAAGCCCTCCGGGCGAATGTGATGTCCACGAGTCTAGCTCACTCCGGTGACAGCTGCCGCTTCGCTCGAAAGATAAGCATGGTTCGAGTGCATCAAGGATCGGCTTGATGTCTGTACGAGACGGGTGTCGGGCACGAACATCCTTCAATTGTTCCTCCAGCCTGCGTGCAGTCATGTTCAAGACGGTGCGATGTATCTCTTTGGCTTCGCCTGATATCGAGGTGGGATTGATCAGGGAATGTAAAGCTTTCAGGGGGATCGAAGGGTCGCCCTCCGTTTCCCATATGTGGTTACCTAGCCAATTTAAGGCCAGAACAAGCGATGGAAGAAGAAACGGTTCGAGGAGATCTAGTCTGTGTCAGTCCAGTTCAGAACACACGTTAACGGAGGGAATGCATTACACTCAGATCCACCTTTGAGTGTGTCGAATTCCAATTTCCCGGCCTCGCACGCCCCAAGACTTTGGCTGAACAGAGTAGCAACAAGAAGATAAAACTCTTGCGGGCTACATGCCGACATTGTCTCTTCGCTGATGCCTTCGGCGATGAATAAAGCCGTGATCCAGCCCCCCAAGTTCTTGTTTTGCTTGTCGCTCAGAGAATCCAGTTTCTGACTGCATGAGCCACCCCCAAGAATTTGCAGAACAAATGAATTGCTGCCACCAAGTCCAAGGTCATGTGCTCGCAAGCCATACCGATATGTGAAGGCGAGCACTAACAGTAAGATGCTACCAAACTCGTCGTAGACAGGCTGGCTTTCTCCTTGATCCTCATCCCAATGCCAGGCATCCAGCAATGAGCACAACGGTTGCAGCACCTGTTTTGTGCTTCGAAACAACAGAATGACATCCATAGCCTGGGGCCGGCGAGAGAGCGAGTTGCAGATATTCTTTAATGTCATCGTTTCCTTTTGATTGCAAAGGTTGTGCATGACCTACGCACGTCAGCAAAGGTTTTCCCAATTCTCAGTTCGGAAAGGGTTCGATGGTCCGTACCTCGATGATCGCGCCAACGATTGCACCGGCGTTTCCCTCCATCGATTCGATCTCACCTATCAAGTGCTCGGCTCGTTCCGGGTTAGCATTGATCTGGTTGACAAGATCATCTTTGTTATACGGCCCCCCTACAGGGAGTGTTTGCATAGGATTTTCTCCAAGAAGTCGCTCGATGCTGGATTCAGGGATCAATTTGTGCGAGGCGCATGCGAAAAGAAATTCCTGCCTCACGTCCGAGAGAGCAGTATTGCTTTGCATGGTAAACATCTGCGAAAAGGAGGGAAACGTATTTGGATCTAGTCGACCCAGCGCATGACTGATACATAGTTCCATCGGTAAGGTAACCATAGATGCTGCCAGCATGGCGGCAAAAAAGGCAGGTAGTTTGTTCACGAGGAACGATCGAAATAGAAACATCGACCGGTTGGACTCGCTACGGTAGCTTGCGTTCGAAAGCACGTCAAATGCTGCAGTGATAGTTTCCTCAATAAGAACTTCATAATGACCCTGTTGCAGTTAGTGCGATTGCAGCGCTGCGCGTTGGACAACCCACTCACCCCATATCTGTTCGACAAGTAGTTCAGAAGCATGCTGTCATCAACCAAAGGACGTCCTACCAGCTAAAACTAGTCAGTACCAAGCTACTAGCCGTGTGTGACGTATACGTACCATCGCATTGATATAGACGAAGAGGCCAGCTCTCGAATTGATCATAGGACCGTCCATAACTGACGCCTCAAACTGAAGCGCATTGACGTTGACACCTTCCATCATCGAGACATCCAACGGCTTAGCCGGAGTTTCACCGTAAAGGTTGAACTCTTTCTGCAGGCTGTCAAGTCGATTACGTAGTGGTAGTGACACTTCAACACAGATGGGAAGGTATGCCGACAGAGCCTGTCCCAGTTTTACTTTCAAGGCTGTATTATCCTGTCAGTAGTGGGATAGTAAAGCATGGATCTCTGAGCCTACCTTCCTGAGAGTCGGCTGAAAGGACTTCGAGTCCTTTCGTAGTGCCCGACAAAGCAGCAAGCAAGATACCCAAGGACTCGAACAGCGAAACTGCGTCGGGAGAACTGATTAAGCCTGGGTTCTGATGGCCAGAATCAATATGACTGCTGTTCCAGGCCACAACAGCCTGAATCCAGTCGATGATGGCGGTGAAAATTGATATCGCTTCTGAAAATGACTTGGGGACACTGCCGGTAGAGACGGACAGCATAGCATCCTGGACAACTCTGATGTCCGTCATAAGAGTGTAGCAACTTCGACTCTTCTTGCCCGGATAGACCTCCACTGATGACGATTGATTTTTGTCGTGGATTGAAGAATGCTTTAGAAGGGCTTTCAACACGGTCGACGTCTGGACAAGGCCCATCTTGCAAAGACAGTCTATGTACAGCGGAAGAAGCGGGTCCCACTTGATCCCTGTGCTAAGTCGCGTCTCAAGTAGCACATCTAGCAGCAGGGCTTCAGTAATTGGGCAGCGCTGCAATAGTAGTCGCGATAGGCTCTTGAACTCTGCTGCGTCGATTCGATGCAACAAGCATCGATGGAGGAAAATCCCCCATTGTTCGGAAGAAGTCATGTTCCAGATAGATCTGCTTGATTTGCTTGATACTCGGGGGTTGCGGGGAGCATAGCACAAATAGCAGTGTGGAAGCTTTGATTCATATAATAGAGTTGACTACCCTGGCATTATTGCTGACATCGCGACATGGTCTGTCTCCGAACTTGTTGATCCCGGGAGACAACTTTAGCTGCAATCATTGTTTGGACGTCAGGTGCTCATCACGTGGTATTATGTAATTTAAACAGCACGTGACCTTCTTGTGGTCACTGCGCGGCATTGGCATCGTATGTGACAAGCAAGCATCCGCTTTCTTTTAGATACCTGCAGACCGGACGGAGAGCTGTCTCGTACGCGGAGGCCCTCGCAAGCGTGTATTTTTCAAGACTTTGCAAACATTGGCGATGCACCTCGATACCTGAAACAACAAGCCCGAGACGGCTGGATCTGGAGATAAAGCCGCAATCCATCGTAGATATACCATATCCACCTCAATAATGACGCGTCGAAGCATATGCATCTCCAATGACATGATTCATGTATGCTCCAGTGAGAAGGGCATTAAGGACAACACCTGGATGACAGACACACCCGGTCACCTTGAGGTCAGGTTGCGCCTGTGATTTGCAGGCACTGTTCTGTACTACTTACTACAAGATACAAGGTCATTTCCGACGTCTCGAAGTTTGACCGTATGGTGTCGGAACTGAGGGTCTGCCGTCGGGAGCCTCCAAACGAGAAGAAGACAAAAAGCAATCGTTGGACATTACTAACAGTGTAGGTACTAGATAAGTTTTTTTAGGTACCTATTCTGCGACTACCTCTTCATAATAAATATTACAGTCACACCAAAAACAGATATCTCGTCTGAGTCCCGACTAGGTTGGTCAGAAGACGATCATGCGCTCTGTATGGGTAATCATCACTGCACTAAAGCTCATCAGCCATATCTAGGGCAAACGGCAATCAATCAACTGGTGGGGAGCTGGACCCCGGGGGCTAACGATCCATTGCCATTAGCTCTTCTAATAGCTTCGGCACTCGGCCGTAAGAGTTAAAGGATAATTCCCAGTTCGGTTGCTTAGGGCCAGACCGTTGTGAGGTATTATTTCCGGTTATAATGTCATTGGCTCTTGAACCACATCGAATAGCACTCCAACCGCCACTTTGCAATATGGCCGTAGATCATATCCAATCATTGGTGTGTCTGACTCGCCGGGCATACTATAATGGGGCCGCATGGCTTGCGTGCTTTATGATAGATGAAATGCCGTAGCAATCATAGGCATGACCAAATATCGACCTTGGTCAGCCTGCCAACATAGGGGTCGGGTTAGGGGATCGCTGGGTTAGCTTCGTGCTCCAGAGCTGTGGGATTAATCGCAAGGCACTGTACAGTACAACACTGTCATACAAAAGGTAGACACATTAAGGTTGAGGCTCAAAGATGGCATATCTAGGATTTGGCTAGTAGCAATTTTACTCGTATCTACTTGAAAGTTTATGTTAGGCACAACAATGCTTGGGGTCCGTGTAAATTCTCAGTTGAAAGGCGTATATACGTACAAGGCATAATACTGGGGCAAGGCTGCGCCGATGTAGATGAGGTGAGGAGTAGTCCACAACACGCAGATTGGGCGCTCAGATAGTCATCGTCGTAGAAAACATCTAGAAAATTGCATCTTTCAGTTTTTATGAGTTAGCAGAGTAGGGGGCCGTATCGTGTGATAATAGCACCTGAAGGAAAGACACTGGAGGTGTGGCTTAATCGGTCGCGCTAGGCTTTAGGAGACGTACTCCGTAGATTTTGTTACATAGTTGCAATCAGCTCAGGAAGTCCATGGCGTGAAGAACGCCGAGATTTCCGCCCAGCTCGAATTGACTCCATAGCTAAGGTTCATCGCAGAAGGCTCACTTTTCTGTCTTTGCATTCTGGCAATCGGATAATTAGTTACTGAGTCAAGAGCCCCATAAATGTCAACAACCGTGTCACCTTCATGAGGCCGCTCTCAAACCTGATATGTCAGCAAAACGACAGGTAGTTATTCTTTGGGTCAAGTCGATCAAATGTCTGTTCAGCACCATTCGATCAACAGATGACGCTACAAGTACATACTCGAACATTTCCCGTATAACCACCTTGGGTGTACCGACAATCCCCCTGCTGCCGATTGAAGCTTCAAAACATGCATTGATATGTGGCTAGTGCCTACTAGTGGCAATAAGTTCACAGTCCGGAGCTGAAAACAGGCAATGTGCCACGGTGGCGAAGCATTCTGTGGCTGCATTGCCGATCCTGCGGCGTCGGCGAGTCCGTATTGTATTCCCACCTCACTTACTGCCCACTTCGCTCCGGTGTGAGGCTGTATTCGTGCACTATAGATGTGGCTGAGAAGGAGGATTCCTCTCGATCTGGAACGAGAGGCTAACAACAGGATCTGGAGCTCGCGACACCATGCAATGAATGAACAGGTGGAAAAGCCATGATGCTAGCAGTATCTTTAATTTTTTCGCAAGTACTATGTACCGCCCATATCGAAGTCATCCCACTTGCAACTTTCTCGTCCGCTCTCTTGATGACCTTAGATTGAACTCGGGTCCTGGCGCGGGACGCAATGAACTCAATAATTGTCTTCCACTTCATCATGTTGGCGGCAAGCTGGATCGTCGTTCTAGCCATATTGCATGGTTAGTAGATAAGCATAAATATGACCCTGCCTTTTTTTTTAGCGTCATCCCCTCCGTCATGTTCCTGGGATCCAATGAAAAGGGTGGTTGTTGTAGTTGTGGATACGGCGAACGTGTTGAGTTATACCTTACATTCTTTGAATTCCTGGAATTACGGAGGGGTACTGAGGAGTACTAAGCCAGTAGCCATCCTAGGGGGCCAATCGCCTTGCATATCATGAGACCCAAACTACGCTCCCTTGTGCAGATAAGCCTTGTTGGCAATGCTTGCCAGCAGTATTGTAATCGTAATTGTCTTCAGCCACACTTTAGCTCCAGGTCACGGAGATACTATTCAGCCGCGTGATGTAGAGAAGTGTTGAGAGTGCTATATCACACACACCCTCGTAATGTTGTAATTTGACGTGGTACGTCTTTTCTGTGTGTCAAGTCTGAAGTGTCATGTAATCAGGGATTAAAGGAGAGTAATCGAGATAAAAAAAGGCCTTAATTGATCCATCGATTATATTTTGGAGACACAGTCCACGTCGACTGAGCCACAACAAGCTGTGGGCCACAATGCAGTACATTGAGAGTTGAAAGCTTCATATCGAGGCTGTAGTTACCGCAAGGTATATTTCAGGCCGCAAGAAATGGATCGGACATGATCGGTGGCATAGTACTCCTATAACCATCTGCTCAGTCGTAAGGCGTGGGTGGGTGGCTAAACGGCTGTTAAGTTGCACTCACTTGTGCAATACTCACCGCTCTGTCTTGAAATAATTGATCATCATATTTGCCTGGTCTTCTTTGCGGACCGACCAATATGAATTTTCATACTATTACTATAGAGGACGTAATCGTTGAGGACGATTTCGACATATTGAAAGCAAAGACCCACAAATAGAGTTACATATTTTCTGCACGGCGTGTTGATATCTTATCATTTAGGCATTTCACAGGACGGAGTACTGACCCTGAATTTCCGCGAAGTCAGACAGGATAACTTATCCGAGGCATGATACTGAGCTGAGCAGTAACGGTGAAGAATACTATTCTCTTGCGGCCAGTTAGATGGCGCGACAAGTATTTTCGCCGATGCACTGCCGTTTCCAAGATTCAGATCTCCGCGACACAGTGTGGCAAAAAAAAAAGAAAAAAGCCCCCCAAGCACCACAGGGGTTGCACTCGCGCATGCAGAGCAATTCATTCCCAATGCAGAAAAGGCATGAATAAAACCTACGTATGATTTCTGATGCGCAATTGGAAAGGTGGTCCTCAGCAGCGGTACGTATTTCAACTAGCGGCGGCTGGGTGAGTGGTGGGGAAGCTTAGCTCCCTTACTTTACCATGTGTTACCATGTTGTCCGCCCTGTTTAGGGGGATGCTTTCTTTCCTTACAACTCCCCAGGGTTTCAACTCTTGCTATTCGGTGTTTTCAACATTGCTGTATATTATCAAATTGGTCATGCAACCAATAAAAAGGATAATTAAAGCCACCTCGGTTGTCCATACTTGAAAGCTCCTCTTCAAGCAGTACCCGACTAAAAGGCTGTATTTGACCCCTGCAACTTCGACTTAAGACATTACAGCTGACCGGGGATGGCATGCTCAAGCATGATTGCGACAATTTTCTCAGATTGCTTGTTGTGCTTGAGAATACCTTACGAATTGCTTACAGAAGGAGGGAGGAATACCTTACTGTATGTACCCCGCCGAATACCACATCTGGGCGCTAGCATACATTATTAGCACGGCAAGATAAATACGTAGCTTGGGCTTTTTCTCTTTTCAGCCCCATCGATAGTACCATTTTTCACACTTATTCTCGAGTACAGCTTATCATTCGATAAGGATCCTTCGCAATGGACCAAGTCCTATAGTGGTTCAATGAAGGGGGAGGGGCTAGACGAGGCCGCCGGACCATAGGCAGTAGGTATGTCACTGCCTACTACTAGCAAGGAAGACTATAGAAACGCCACTTGGGCCGCATCCCTTGGTGGTAGCAATGATGCATACTAAAGATTATTGGGATTGGACTGAAATACCGCGCTTCCTCATTTCATGTTGAAGGCATGGGAAACACGCGATTGACAAATTTGACAGGAGGAATTAAGAACAATCTGTCAAAGAATCTTAAATTATTGCCCTTTGATTTGACCATATTAGTTCTTCGTCGACCTGGAAAGCTGGAACCTGCTGTCTTCATGATTATTGACTGGGGATGTGCCGTTACCGAGCAAGGTACTTTGACTTACTGATGGAGTATTGTCCAAAACTGTGCCCCGGGCGGGAGAGACACCTTAAGATTGCCCTGATGGATAAGTTGTTTGAGGCTGTCGCACCTCTTCACTCACGCTGATTCTTGGATTTCGGCCAAAGACTCAATTTCCCTGAAAGTTATGATATGGACTCGATATTTCTGTGGTTCTCCATTCTGTCGGTTCGATCTGCATGCGACAACGAGAAT